TATACATGATTAAGAATCTAATATCTTATAAACCATTAAGAATTATTGTTGGGTCTCCCCGGTGGCGCAGCAGTTGAGCGCTGGGTTGCTAAGCTGCCCGCAGCCTCTGCAACACCGGTTCTAGCCCTGGCTGCCGGGTGAGGGTCCCACATGGCACGCAGACCTCTCCTGCCGCCTGCTGCTCCGCTCAACAGTGTACTTCGGTCCTTCTGCCTGTTCTGCTCCCTGCTGTGGCTCTGATGAATTCTCTCACCCTCACGTGCTTCTGACTGTACCCAGTGTGTGTATAAACAAACAAACAAACAAACAAATAAATAAATAAATCTTAAAAAAAATTACTGTTGTTAAAGAATATCCATGGGAACAAAAAACATCAGCATAGTTAAACAAAATATGCATTATGTAATAACATAATGTACATACTTACATTAATATGCTTCATGATATTTATGTAAGATAATACATGGTATATATTATGTAAAATTAAACATATAAATATTAGTACAAATACAAATGGGGAAATGCACTGAAACATGGTATACAAGGAGTAAATTATTCTTTTTCATGTCTTTTTCATGCTATATAAATATAGCACATAAAAGAGTTGCAATGAACATAAAGAAATCATTCCTTTAATATTTTTGTACATATTCTTATATTCAAAGGTATTATCTGAAATTCAAATATAATTATCAGCCCTTCAACCCATAGTATGTAGTGTCCTTGCCTTGGTAAAAACATGAAAGAGATAAGGTCTCTAGATGCTATACTGACAATAAACAAAGGAGAGCACTGCCATATTTTGGTCATTCAAATGATCAAAAACCATATTTTTCATACATATTTGGTCACAGTTGCCAAAAGCCTTGAAATTTTCCTAGTGTTGTGAGAAATAAATATATAGCTCTTTTTATGTTAATAAAGGTAACTTTTGGAAAGCTCCTAGTAAGGGAGACTGGTTGCCAGGGTAAAGAACATAATATTGGACTTTCACTCCCACTCCCTGATTTCCTGGGAAGGGAGAGGTGCTAGAGGTTAAGTTCAATTGCCAAAGATTTAATTAATTATGCCTCTATTATGAAGTCTCTGATACCAGGCAAAGCCAAGTGTGCCCAGAGACCCCAAAGGTTAAGGGTTAAAAAAATATTGCCTGTTCTAAGGGCCCATACCACCCCCACAAACAAAGGAAAATAATCAGATTGTAGTGTGCTCAAAGATTTTTGAAAAAGAGAGAAAAAGAATACTGGAGAGAAAGATTTCAAATAGCAGATTGTCGGTTGTCCGAGCCCGCGGACTGTTCAACGAGGTTCTTGAGGGGAGAGCAGCGACCTGAAGAACAGGGGTACACCACGGAGGGAGACACGTGCACTCTTCGTTTAGCTATCGCAGGTCTCGTTTACTTTCGGTTTGGCGGGGCTTTATAGCTGGGGACCGGAAGCGGAAGAAGCAGGCCAAAGCCATCATGCGCACTGGGCCAAAAGAAGCTAATCCCGGAAGGGCACATGCCCTTATTTGGTGCGCCGGAGGTCGTCATGCGCACTGGGCCAAAAGAAGCACAGCCAATCACAGAAAGGGGGAGTATCCTGATGCCACACAGTAAGGCGCCAACAGTGGTCAAACTACCAATCGCTCATCCCCTCGGGCGCAAATGCTCAACCAATTAGGTGAGGCTCAGAGCAGGGCAGCTGAGGTCCAAAAGCAAAGGAGGGACTTCCTGGCTGGGAGGTTGGACAAGCCTCAGTGGGCTCAGAGAGAAGCAGAGACTCAAAATCCACAGTGTACCATCCAAGTTGGATAATCCACCGTGATATCAAGATGATAGCTGACATTGTCTCTGAAGAGTCTGCCTGCCAAAAGCGTTAAAGTTGCAAAGAGCAAAATCAGGAGCAGCCTGCCTACGTGTCCTTATTTCCTTACCCTTTCACACTAATGGCCACCTCCTTCTTTCCTCCTTCCCAGCAGCAGCCCTTCCCTCTTCAGAAAGTCCAGTTCATGGCCTGCTGGGAGTTGTAATCCAAGGCCCCTGAGTTGCTGGCAGAGGATAAGTGAGAGTAGAGAAGATAGCACTCATTCCCAGACCCTTGGGAGTGCTCCACCTCCTGCCATGGGAACACATCCTGTAACACCTCTACAAAAGCCCAGGTGGACACGCTCCTAGGTAGGTCAGCATGTGGAGAGTTGGAGAGAATGACACACCTGGAAAGGGCATGGAAGCTCGGCATCTTTTCCCTATGCCTTGTCCAATGCGTTCTTCCACCTGGCTTCCATCCTTTATTATCTTTGTAATAAATTAGTAATAAATCTAGTGAGTAAGTGGGTTTCCTGTGTTCTGTATACCATTCTAGCAAATGAATGGAAACTAAGGAGGGAGTCCTGGGAATGTCTGATTTACACTCAGTCATTTAGTAGCACAGATAATAATCTGGGCTTGCATCAAACACATGAAGTCTAAGGGAGGTCTTGGGGACCTCTCATCTGTAGCTGGTTGGTCCAAACCCTAGGTGGTATCCTAGTTCTGCATCTTGCATTCAAGGTAGAAGATGGTCTTGGGTGGCTGACATCTTAACCTGTGAAACCTGACCATATCTCCAGGAAGATAGCGTCAGAATTTAGTTGAATTCTCAGACACAAACATCCTGTTGATATTCAAGAATTGCTTGTTTGTGTGAGGAAGTTACCTCACACCACATTGGACACTGGTCTCAGGACACCACCACCACACACACAGAAGATGCAGGGAAAGAAAGAGGTAGTTACAGGGATATCCAGACAGATGAGAGTGGATGGGACCAGGTAGTAGTGGAGGTGCTGTGAACTAGATTTCAAGATATATTTTGAAGGTAGAGATGATGAAATTTGCTGTTGTGATTGCAAAAGTGATCATCCTAAATTCCTAGGCTTTGTCTTGAGCAACTGGAATTTCTAAAGGTGCCATTAGTCAAAACCAGGAAGATGGCTATGGAAGGAGGATATCAGCGTTGGGGGAGGCAAAGATCAGGAGTTCAGGGAGACCTGCTCTGTGTAAGGTGGCTAGCAGACATGCCAGCCTAGCCGTCTGCAGTTCAGGAAGTGTAATGGCTACAGAAGTAAACAGGGGATGTAAGACTTGGTAGGAGAACCAGCTGTGAGGATGAGTGGATTGAGTTGCAAAGTGGGAGTGGAGCCCCTTCGAGGCTGCCTGCCCTCCGGGCCACGGGCCTTTGTTCTGTAAATTTGGATTCCTAAGCTGACCTTGATGCTTGCTGGTGCATGCAGGTCATATCTCCACTGTCAAGCTGGAGAGGACAGGGTACTTGCCACCTGGATATGGCAGGAAGTCAAGGCAATTCAGACAAATTTCAAGCAGTGAATACAGAGTTCTATATTCAACTTAAGTTTCTACAATACAGAGAGAAAACAAATTTCTAGTTGAACTCTTCCTTGCACTGATGTGCTCACAGTATGGTAACCATCACCAAGTTACTTTCAAATGATTCATTTTTAATAGAACAGGAATAACAATGGGGGAGTTTGCAAGGTAAAACAAACAGGGTCAGGAAAAAAAAGGAGCTGGCTTCTAGTTATCCTCTCCCAGTGAAGTCATGTGGATAGCAGACAGCACTTAGTTCTCTCAGCAACAATATGGGACACAGATAGAGTCTCGTCATGCAGGGAAGTTCACCTGAACCTTGGTGTCCAGGAATTCTACAGGGAGTTATTCACAGAGATATGATAAACTGCCAGAGTGGCCAGCCTTACTTTCCAATCCCTTCAGAGTTTAAGATGATACCACATGACCCAAGGCCCAAAACAGAAATCATTTTGCCATAAATAATCTGGGATAGCCCAAGCTCCAGATAAACAAAGACGCCTTAACAGGCAGTGTATTTTAAGGACTTAAAGGATGCCTCCCAGGAGGCAGGCAAGGTCTTCTTTGGAGTAAATAGGGCTTAGACATTCCCCACCTACTGAGTCAAATGCTAACTGCAAACTCCTCACAAAGAGTTTAGAAGTTTATAGGATCTCCCTGGTGGCACAGGGGGTTAAGCACAGCACTATGAAACTAGCCACAGCTTCTGCAGTGTGAGTTCAATCTCCCTGCAGGCCAGGGAGCTACCCACATGGCGCAGCAGACATCTACTGACTCGCCACTGCTCCTCTCAGTGGCGTATTTCAGTCTGCCTATTCTGTTCCCCACTGTCTCTGGTGAATCCTCTCACCCCCTGCACCTCTGGCCTGTACCCCAGTTCTTGTATGCATAAATAATCTTTAAAAAAGAGTTTAGAAGTTTTCATTTTGTTGATCATCTCCTATAAAAATACAAATTATAAAGACTTTGGTTGCAAGGAGTTGGACTTTTCTTCAAAAGTATCTTTTAAAAAGTATCTTAGACCATTCTCTCATGACTTCAAATTAGAGTGCACATTTCTTAGTAAGCAATAGAGATGATAAATTGCTGAATCAATCATCCTCAAAATTTACATGGGGAAACCTAAAAAGCGTAATCCATATTCTATACTCATAATTACAGAGTTTCCCAGAAATGTCTGTAGCAAAGTATGTCCAGCTCCTGAAAAATTATGCATAAGGCTGATACACAGAGGAGACAGTGTGGGTATTGCAAGCAGTATTTTCCCACTTTCTAGTCATGTAGTCAGCATAATCAATATTTTTAACAATGAAATGGAAAACAAAACAAAATTTCAGATCATCATGCCAGCAGAGATTCTGCACAGCTCTTAACTTACGTGATTCTGCACAGCTCTTAACCTATATGAGTTTGTTTGTATCTGTGTGTGTGACCATATGTGAGAATGTGTGGTTTGTGTGTGTGGTCTGTATAGCTCGTGTGTGGTATTTGATATGTCTATGATATATGGGGGAGGTGGTGTGTACATGGCATGTGGTTTGTGTGGTGTATGTGTATAGTATGTGGTATACATACTATAAATGTGTAATGTGTGTGGTGAGTATGTAAATAGACTGGGTCCTTTCACAACATGATTTAGTCTCATTGCCCTTCAGTTGGTTGGAGGCAGCATGGTGTCTGATGTAGGCCTGTACTCAGGACAGAAGCCTGGACATGAATCTTGGCCCTGCTTCTCAAGAGCTTTGTGATCTTGAGCAAATTTCTTGATCACAATAGCTCTCAACTCTTTATCTAAGAATTGTGAACATAACAATTGTAACTACCTTGTAAGACTGGCATGAGAATTGACTAAAACTAATTAAGTGTAACGTTCAGTATTATTCTTGGCTCAATGTCATTTATTTTTTCATTTATCATTCTAATTACTGCTATTATTATTATAGTCGTGATCAAAATGTTTGAGAACCATGTATTTAGAGAGCAAAATTGACAAAGCCAAAGCCAGTATATTCCATTGGACCAGCCACCTCACTGAACCCCTGAAGAAGGCATGGGGGTTTTGCTCAGTCCAGACCCCATGGTGGAAAGCCCCCCACTGCACTGAGTGTACAGACTCCCCAAGCAACAGCCAACCACTCACACAGGCTAAAAAAGGCTAGAAATTGCTCTTATGGTGGTGAATTTCCCCCCACCATTTCCTAACTCAAAACCTATCTTTTCTAATAAAGGTTAGTATCATTAATAATAACATGTATGGAAAACAGGTACCCCCCGAGTAGAACCCACCATTCCTTCTGTGGAATTCTTGCCAAAAATACATGTCATCACCAAACAATGAGAAAACAGTCAGTCAACAAACATGAACTTAGGCCACAACATGGTGCTTTTAAGAGTGTCAAAGTTATAAAAGAAGAAAAGACTGTGATGCAGAGAAACTAAGAGGACATGTCATTCAAATGCAGGGAGGGATCCTGTGAAGTCAGTGAAAAAGCTTATGAAATGTGAGATCTGTGCTTTAACTTCCTTATTTTGACAACTGTACTATTCATATAAAATGCTAGCATTAAGAGAGGCTGGTTGAAGGATACACCTTTTTTGTTATTTTGGCAACTTTTTGTTCTATATGAATATTTTCTAAATAGTAAGCATATATGTAGTGTGTATGTGTGCATGACTATGAATACAGACATATATTAACATGATCCATCTTGATTGAATCAGTTGCCAAGTTATCAACAAACCACAGGGTTTTACTCTCTTGAGACTCTGTGATTAGTCTGGTTTTTGAAAAAATATGATTCTTCCATTGTAAGTTCCCTGTTGAATGCTTTCATTATCACAGAAAAGTAAATATCATTTTTTTAAAAAGTTTTCTATTGAACCCTCCAGAGAACACTCTAAGTGACACTGGTTAATGAGACTTATTATGGTGATCCCTCAGCCCCTGCCAGTATCCCTATTCCCAGAAGGCCAGGTTCAGGTCTCACAGCCACACATCAGTTCACAAACTGCCGTCTCCTCAAGTGCAGACAGTTAAGTGGCAAGAGTTCAAGATGGCAAGGTGCTTTTACCTCCATAAATATACTTCTCCAACATGGAAACCATATCTACCATCACCTATCTCCCATCCTAAATCTTGGGAAAATATTGTTCCTCTCTTCAATTTTTCTTTTTCTTCTTCAATAACTGAGTCTCTGTAATTTGAATTCAAAGAGATCAAACTTTCAGATGGAGCAGAAATTCTCTGGAGACCTGAAAGTAATGAATCCCTTGCTACCAAATAAACAATTATCCTCATTTCTTGGAAAAGAGAATAATTAGTCCCAGAAGTAAGAACTCATTAGGTGATTTAGGTGATCACATAAGAATTGATACAAACAACAGTATTTTTATTAATGGATGTATACTCAAATATCAAACTAACAATAATTTATACATGCATATTATTTATAATTCAATCCTCAATCCTCTATCCTTATATTAATAAACTGTAAGGCATTCCTGAGGAATCTGGCTCATAGCAGCCATCCCAGGCATTTTCTTCATCACTTGCCAGTTTGGACATGGAACAAATTAATGCAAATTAGAGGTAACCTCAGCGAAGCCTTTAGCAGCTACTGTTTACACAAAATACTTTAAGACAGATTATTGGAGGGGGCACATTGTACTTTGATGTACACATATCAAATAAATTTGGGGCCTCCCTGGTGGCCTAGGGGTTAAGACTCAGCGCTGTCACCGCCACAGCCTGAGTTCAATCCCCCGTCAGGGAGCTAACCCCTGTATGGCACAGCAGACCCCTCCTGTCTCACCCACCACTCCCCTCAGCAGTGTATTTCAGTCATTCCACATTTTCTGTTCCCCACTCTGTCTCAGGTGAATCCTCACCCCCCCCACACCTCTGGCCTATACCCCAGTTCTTTTATAAATAAATTAATAAATAAATCTTTTTAAAAAATTAAAAAAAAAAATACATGTACATGAACATTTAGAATACATACATAAATAATAGCATATCAATACAATAATAATTATTAAAATAAAGAATACAGTGCAATAGTAAATGTATTTATATGTAATTATATAATTATAGATAATAAAAATTATTTTTATAAATTTTCTTTATAATATACAAATAATTATAAATGAATATTTGCTTGTTTCTTTATTTCAGGCAAGACAGAAAGCAGAGAAGGTAGTGTGTGTCATCTGCTCCTCCATTAGCACCCTGCCCTAACTCCAAAGGAAACCAGTCAAAATTTGTAATTGTTTCTAATTCCTATTTAAACCATACCACATAGTTTTATTTTGGGGGGGAAAAGTGTGTGTATTACCATTTGATGGCTATTTCTTAACTTGAATATTCATTTAATGTTTTCAGTGACTTCTCTCCATGTCAATAAATTTAGTTCTACATCATCATATGTAAACTTAAAGCTATGCTAATCATTTTATATAAAGGAATCTATCCCATTATTTCATTCATAATGATTTATTTAACAAATCCTCCAATGGATGGATCACAACTTTCCCAACTTTCTCTTATAAATATAATGCTTTCATGAATTGAATAATGATTTCCCCAGAATAAATTCCTGGAAGTTTATTGTTGAGAGGA